CTCATGCATCAGCTAAATATACTTTGGGTAATTCGGCATCTATGATCGAAATTGAATTATTGTGTCTCTAGGTCTTTGCAACATAGACAGCATAGTCTTACTAATGAACATATTATTGGGCTTTGAAACTATCCATTGAATATTAGTTATCCCAGGCACTTAATTCCCGATCTACCGATATTTTCGTAACCTACTCATTTGGTATATAGTAATATCGTCGATAATTCTTATTCACCTTAATCTGATGAATTAAACTATCAATTTTAAGCTACCTAACTCGAATTAAGATAAATCTGCCTTTCATTTATGGTTCAGAGAAGTTATTTAAACCTTATTGTTTGGTCTCTAGATATCTCAAAAATAGACATCTTCACATTTACACATAACATAATAACCCTTGGATAAAGAGTGTTAGTCTTTCCTCATATATTATTTGTGTTCCTCCCTTCCTCACCGATTTGTTTTTCTTTTACTAAACACCCAATAAGAGAGGTGGTTAGGGATTGGAGCTTCGAGGATTAACCTGTTCAAAGTGACAGTAAAAAAGCATAAGCAGACTTGCTTCGGCTTCCGGTGAGGTCAGCACATGAAGTACTTTCACCAAAATTTGCTTACTTTTCGCTAGAAACGAAAAATAGCAGAGGTTCGATGCATCCTTTAAGATAACAATGTTGTGGAGACTTTCTTTTCTTGTGAAAATTCCCGATGAAAAGAATCATTGATTCATTTAACCAAAAGACGACGGCTGATACTCGTTTTTCTGCAATCGTTTGGCCTTAATGCAACATTCATTTGGCCAACCTCGTTTCCATTAGTGACTGAAGATGCAGATCAAGATCGTCTTGCGTCAGAAGCTGAAAGTGACCAATATAGCCCTATAGAAGACTCCGTACATGGTGTGGGGAACTGACATCCTATTGGAGATCACATTCACACCAAGTCGCGACCCAGTTGCAACCAAATTGCGAAAGCGAGGTCAGACGACGTGTAGATGGCATTCTTGCATATACGAAGAATAAATAAGTTTCATTGAATCACTTGAGTTAACATTCTTGTGGAGATGGTTTGACCTCGTATTCGCAACTTGGTCTGAGCGACAGGAAGACCTTATGTAACATGCATAGTCTTGTGTCCTCTGCCATAGTACTCGTGATTTCCAGCATCGAACCATCTACTTGATAAATTATCAAACGTTTCGCCTGTATCGTAGTCGGCACCATCAGTGAGAGGCGCCATCGTAAGCACAGAGATACAACTTATCAAAGTGACAAGTGAAGGCAATCCACTTGACCAATTTTCTGTTCAACAATTGTGGCACCATTCAACTCCCCTATTTTTCTCCTACCTTCTAGGGCTATATCTCTTTCTCCCAACTCTACTTCATATGTAGATACGAAGAAAAACTGGGTTTCTATGAAGCTCTTGAGATAACTTTGTTAGGGGGACTTTCATTTCGTATGAAAGTCAATGAAGGAGAGATTCGTTGTTTGATATCACCAGATGAGGATGGATGAATCTTATTGTACTGCAGCTGTTTGGCTTTTATACGATATTCATGTTTACGCAGTCCACGAGACTTTCTCGCTCGTTTCGGGTGAAAACGTGCTGAGCTTTCGTCCATCAAATGATGGACATCATCAGAGCTGGAACTTATTCTTGTAAATGTCTCACGTTAACACTTGGCCAAGAAGACTGACCGGCTCTATCTTACTTTTGATATAGACTCAATTTAGCCAAAAGAAAAGAAAAAATCTAGATAGACCGAAATAGAGTGATTTGGTTAATTATATTTCATACTGTTCCTGTTACTTTTGCTCGAGTGCATGCCTATGTGTATGTGTTCGTGTTAGCGTCTATATGCTATGCGGCTCCTAAATCAGACTGGTCAAAGGTTTAATCTCAGGTTATGATCCTCAAGACCTAATGACCCAAGAGAAAGCCTTGACAGAGATGGCGTAAGTCCGTAAACAAGCATGGTTGAGATGATGAGATATGAGCTTGTAAGCTTGTATTCACCCAATTTCGTTTGAGGTGATGAAGGACTGGTAGAAGTAGATTTTTCCCACAAATGATATGAGTTGGACTGACGTTTCCATTGAATATTTACATAGCTTTGCATTCCCAAAA